ACTAATTACCTGTATAACTGGTATAATTAATAATCATATGGCAAGGAATATGACCTTATTGGCTGCGATCCTAATTAGGCGTTCGTATGAATATGTGTATGGTATATGGTATAGTTATAAAATATGAATAAGAATAGAGTATTTTAAAATTAAATAACTCCATCCAAACTTCTTATGGATTTCTATGAGTAAGCAGGTTTAATGTTCAATCTACCATTTTTTTTGCAAAATGTCGCGAGGGTTGTTTACATTTCCAAATATCATGATCTTCTTGCGCATTGGTCAAGCTCTACGACTTTTACGAGGTAAACTATCACCCATGTGTGTCTTTCGGTGTGAGAATCATTGCGCTCCGTTGTTTAGGCTGACCTTCTTTCGTTCGTGTAAGGAGGTTTGCTCGCGTGCAGGCACTTGAATTTCCTTATACCTGTAGTCGAACACCCTGTACATATCTTTCTTCTCTATTACGCAAAATTAAGCTCTAGAAATCCAAAGCGTTCACTAAATTAAAAACAAAATGGAAGGGAAAGTAATAAATAAAAAGTCATGAAGTCAATTCAACGTAATCGTCATTCAATTTATTACATTTGTACATATTTAGTCTTGTTCTACGCTTCTATCGTCGTGTTCCTCCATTCTCTCGCACATTCGCACTCACGCATTCAACCTTTCTCTCCACCTCTCTCCCATACTCTCATTTTCTCTCTCTTCCCTTTCCTAATTTTTCCCTTTTTTTCTTTCGAAATTCGATCGAACATTCACGTGGCTAGACTTCTCCCCGAAAAAAATTCACGTATACGCACATGTACGCATCAGGCAGACAAAAAGGACGCTTCTCGGCGGTCATATGGACCATGCCTGGTACGTTACTGTTGTAATTAAAATAGCACGATACATTTGAGGGCGGCTAGCCATTCTTCGTTTTATTTCTTTTTGTTTTTCTTTTTTCTTTATTTTACATTTTCTCTTTTTCCCTCAACCGTCTTCTTCCTTATTCCCCCTGGCTTTCATCGCGTTTCTTTCTTATCCTTCCTCCTCCATTATTGTTCTTCTTTCACTTCTTTATATCTGTTTCTTTCTTCTCTTTTTTTTGTAATTTTTTCTCTCTTTTATTTCTTTTTTGTTACTTTTCATTTATTCCTTTTTTTTTTCTTAAATAGACGATTACGCACTGCCTCGTTCAGGGGCGAAGAACAGACTCGAGAGGCACGCGGCAACAAGTACACTGAATAACACGTTTAATAACTCTGATGTACGTGCGCGTGCACGATTTCATCTCTTGTACTTATTATTCACGTAACTATATGTATATATACGTATATGTGTTCACGTATGTATGTACGCATATATGTATATACTCTTCATTTTGTTAATTTTATTCGTTTATATTTTTCTTCCATTTCTCCCACTTTTCATTTTCCACTTTCCTTCTGCTTCCCTTTCTTCTTCTTCTCTTTCGTCTTCGTCGGATTCTCTCGCGGATAGAAATTGTTCCATCGCCATGTTGCGCACATACGTAAGTAGATTCGCCTTTTCTCCTCTGTTTCACTCATCTTTTTAGTTCTCTTTTACATCTTCTAAACTCTTCGCTTGCTTTTTACTGTCTGTTTCGCTAAACAAATACACGTGCAACTGAACGGCGAATTCTCGCGCGCTGTCGCACGATTCATCCCGTGGCTAGAGTAAACTATAATTCGGAGGTCAGTCGTCTAACGCTATCGAGCTATCGAAACTCGGTCGTGGTGCCAGAGAGACGCGCGTTATACGTTAATCATGTACGTGTATCGTGTATATATATATACACACGCATTTATATATGTATATATATATGTATATTATACGGATACATTATAATCTAGGAGTTCTGATTAAAAGGTCCAAGGAAGTCCAACACGCTACCATTACGAATAGTTTCATCTCGACGAACATCTTAACTCTACATTTCCGTGACACGTTCGTTCTCCTTTCCTTCATTTCTTCGTTATCGATTGATGAATCGCATCGATCCCTCCCTGTCCCATAAATTCGTCAGAAATTTCTTCACTCGTTTAACGTAACAATTTCGAATGGATAATCGCAACAACCAGAACATTAGAGCGGAGATGCCTCGTTTTTACGTAAATCGTAAGAGTAGAATAGGCGTGATCGCGCGTACAAGATTTGCATTAGACCTTTTAAACGGAGTAAATTTCGACTATGAACAGTCCATACCACTACGTAGTTTCGTTTACTACTGGGATCGTACGATAGATCGATCGATGAGGAAAGAGTCGGCCGAAATCTATCCGCCATCGTACGTTTCGCTAACGATTGTCACTCTCGTCGGACGATTAACGATTAACAGGTAATTGAAACACCCCCGCAGCGATTATTAATTAACAGCTGTCTCGATTTAACAGGTTCAACGAGTTACACGAAGAGACTATTATTATTTATAGCGTTGGTAATAGTTCGTTACGCCTATGATTATCGAACGATCGAAGTAACACGCGAGGCAGCTGATAATCGATCATGTTGGAACCGAAGGTTGGTTCTTTCGTTCGATCGATCGATCGATCGTTCGGTTCAGTCGCGTGACTATCGTTTTTTTCTTTTTTCATATTCTTTTTTTTTCTTTTTTTCTTTTAAAAAGCAACGTGGCGCACAGCGCTCGTTAACGTTTTAGCAACTTATGAAACTTCGAGTCAACGAAGAGAAATCACCAATTGCCTTTGATCGTTCGAAGCGCGGGCACCACCACCGCACGAAGGTTCGTCAACGTCCGTCAACGTTAGAAGGCATAGAATTTTTTTACTTTATACTTGCACTCTTCTTTTACTTTTATTTAATTACTCCTTCTTTTTCTTCTTCTTAATTTTTTTTTTCTTTTACTATTTTTTCATCGTTTCTAATTTGTTGAATTTATCCCCGACAATCGTTAAATATTACCGCACGCGGTAGTATCAAAATAAACCACACCGAGTGTATAGTATAGAATATTCGTAAGTGTATGTATGTACAGTAGAGTTTCTTCTATCGTATTTATATATTTGCGTTTATTATATTTGTTTTTTTATTTTTTCTTTTATTCCTCACTTCAAACCATAGTTCCGCGCTCGTCCCCGTTTTATGTTCCTTTCATTTTATTTTTATCAAAAAGTCGCACTATCGTCGTTTCGTATTTTCTTGTTTCTTTAATTGTTGCTTTATCTTTGTTCTCTCTCTGCTTGTCGTCCTGCTGTATTCGCTCCCTCCATTTACTCTTGTAGCGCTCTTTTGTTCTCTCTCTCTCTCTCTCTCACTCTCTCTCTCTCTCTCTCTCTCTCTCTATTTTTTTATATAGGAAATACACTACGATTAAAGTATATCACAGATGTTAACGAGAAGAACGTTCTAGAACGCGAGAAAGAAACGAAGAGAAGGAAACGAAGAGAATACTTGACTCATCGTCAGTCGCCGCAGGATTTATTCGGAAGTACACGGCAGCTGGTGTCGTCATAGCTTTCCACGTGAACCCGTCCAAGTTAATACCAATTGACATAGAGATTATAGATTGTACGAGTTTCAATTTGTATTAAAGATTATCACAACGTCGGAGTTAGTCTTAAGTTCCTAATCGTATTTACCTCGAGCTCCGAGCTAATCGTCCAGTTTGCTTCTTTTGTTTCGTTATATAGAGTTAGCGTGAAAGAGGTGACAAAAATACCAGTATAATCGACTAAACTATGAACTGGCTGTTTATTACTTTAGCCAATCGTAACAATATTTATTCGGCCTCCCCATTCTTCCCCCGTTTCGACCACGCACCACCTTGGTTCTGAGAATATTTAATTACGAAGCTCTTAACGTCTATTGTTAATACACGAGATTCTTTTGTTCCGTTTGTTCTTCCTGTCTCTCCGCAGCTAAAATCTCCGTCCCGCGATAAGACTACTCTACTTTTTATTCTGTTTTCCTAATTTCTTTTATAGTCCGAAACTGTTTTTTTTTTTTTTATCTAGATTTTCTGGCACTTCGGTAATGACCATTCGCGTTCGTGCTCTTCTTCATTTTCCCTCATTGTGTTTTCCGTACCTTCGGTTTGGCACCTTTCTGTTTCTCCGTCGAGAGCTACCCACGATCCGCCGCGGCTCTCGAAACATTCCTGCGAACGACACGCGTTATTTATTCGACGAGCTGGAGAAAAAGGAAAGGCGAGAAAGTGTGGTCCGATTAATTGCAATTGTCGCGTAGACTCGACAAATTTGTTTTTTTCTTTTTTTTTTTTTTACCTAACGACTACATAAATTCTCTAATTATTGACGCAGAACTACATCGTTCTTCATCCTACCAATTCCTACGGATCGACTTCCACGGTGTATTTTTTAACGGAACGTAAGATCAGTTCCGCTGGCAATAATAGATTGTCATAGGTTTTTCATTTCTTTTTTTTTTTTCATTTCTTCTGATTTTCTTTTTCCTTTTTTTTTTTTTTTTCTTTGGTTGCCCTCGCTTGTCGTTTGCACGCGCGTTCGGCCGTTCGATAACGCGCACACGCGATCTCTCATTCACGTCATCCCTTCGAACTATTTCATTTTGCGCGCTGAAAACACACAATTGTTCTATCCGTGATCGAACACGTTCTCCCGTACCTTCGATTCCCATTGATCTTCGCTTTCGGTTACACGCTCGACCAACAGCGAATCCGTTTCCCTGCCCAGAAAACGCCATCCATCCACCCTTCCGATGTTCCCGATCTTCCCTAAAACTCCTGCTCCCTATCTTTGGCAAGTTCACGGCGGCAAAGTTACTAGAATATAACGACTATATTGTCATGCACTACAGTCTTTCTTAGAGCCCAAACATTGAACCCTCGCAGAACCCTCCATGGTACTTTGCCGTGGATACCATGGTCGGCTAGCAGTTGCATAGAAATCTATACTGTTTCTCGGTAGAACCGATTACTTTTGCTTTTTGTTTCCTTTTTTTTTTTTTTTTTTTTTTTTTTTTTTTTTTTTTTTTTTTGAAATTACAATCAATTCTAGAATCCGTTTCTCTAAATTTCAGATAGGAGTGTAGATCGCGCGAAGACCATTCGATCTTGAACTTTAAGAACGATCCGAGGGTGCTCTATCGAATCTCTCGGACCTCCCCTTCGTTTCTTCCGTTACGTCGGTTCCATCGTGGACCGCGGTGACGGACGAAACGGACGTCGACCCGTCCGGCGTCTCCTCGCTGGATTTCCTCGTGTGATGGCTGTTGCTGCTCGTCGAGTCGGTATCGTCCACGTATATGCGAACGTCCGAGCCAATGGTCGTGCAAACCGCTTCCGGTATATTTACCACGGCGATTCCGTTCCTGCTACCGCTTCCACTAGCGCCACCGCTTCCGGTTCCGCTTGCACTCGCGCTTGCACTCGTGCTTGCACTCGCGCTTGCACTCGCGCTTGCACTCGCGCTTCCACTC